AGTCTTCTTCAGAAACATCAGGTTTCTGTAGCAAATCCATGCAAGTCCATGATGTTCTGGAGATAATGTTATGTGCTGTACCTGGATGGGATGTAGAACTCTGTCTCCTTTCAGTTGACGAACAGCAGTCCCTCGCAGGAGGATGAGCAGGTCAATCCCACGGGAAGGGTGGATGAGGGCATCGATGAGTTCTTCTCTAAGAAAATCACTAAGATGGGATCTAAGTAAGTCTAAGTGAAGGTTGCACTTGATTTTAGACCATGTTTCATGCTGGTGTGACAGCCCAGCTTGAAGTGCGCTTTAATGGGTTCTGCTCCTTAATAGCTGGAGAACTTCTGGTTCCCTGCTGTGATGAGGAGGCCTGCCACGCCCCTGATCTTCTGGGCTAAGCTTTGTACATTCTGTTGCTCATAGGCGTTCGTCTCTTAAGAGCTCCAGCTCCCAAGAGCGGGACACGAAACGGGAATCTCGGAAGAGCGGGTTCCTCAACCTCATCATGTCCCGCTCCTCCAAGCACGACAAGGGCCAGCCAGCCCCTGCTGTGCCGGGGCCTACGGCAGCAGAGGAGCCGTTGTCCCCCAAGTGCTTGAGCTGGAGCTCCGCCCCTGAGCCAGCGAAGGTCAATGAGCCCAAGGCCCCTCCCACCGAGCAAGGCAGAGCGGTGGAACACCCCGAGGAACTGAAGGTTCCTGATTCCGTGGATCATCACTTGGAGGGAGAAGGGAAGGCCAGCCCCATGGGAGGCCGCCGGTGTAGGGTTCAGGTGATGGGCACTGGCCTCCTGGCTGAAATGAAGGCCAAGCAGGAGAAGAGGGCAGCCGGAGCGCACAAGGTTGGTGTCCAGCTGGTGACCTTTGAGGGTTTGGCCAAAGTTCCCAAGATGGAGGAGATTTTGTTTTTAGATGGCTGGTTTGGGGTTGCAGGATCATCAAGTCCCAGACCTTGATCACCCTGGAGGATGGATGTGAACTTTAGAGAAGGTGATAGTTTACTACTGAGTGGTCCTGAGATTTTTGAGTTCAATAAATAAGAAAACAGCTTCTCAGTGCCTAATAAATGCTTTCTTACCCGTTGTGGTCAGGGCAGTGCCGAGAAGTCTGCATGATTTGAGGCAGGAGAAACAGGTTATTGTTAGACAGTGTGGGTCTCACAGCAGACAGAGGTCTCAGTATTACATTTCCTACCCTGTGACAGCAGTTTTCTACATGAGATTAAACCCCAAAATGTTTAGTACCATAATGCATTTCTGCTGCTCCTAGTTCAGTCTCACTTTCTGGTCTTTCTGCTCATCTATGTGGAAGTAGCTCCCTCTAGTGTCCGTGGTCTGTACCTGCAGATTTTCTCCCACTGCACTGAAATCCAGTGGATTTAAGATGGCCATTTTAATTATACAGAAACTTTTTCTTTGATCTATTTGCGTACAGATGATGGTGATGATATTTTTATGGAGATGAGAGCTCTTCCTGAAGAATGAGGTGCTACTAACTTTTGAATCGGTTGATGGTAGTGTTCAATGACTGTGTGTGCTGATTTGTCACGTCCTCACGCAACATTTCATCTCTTGCAGATGGTCAACTCCCCTGCCTGTCCTGAGAAGCCCACAGGCAGTGACCCAGGTGGGTGCTGCTTCCATCTTCATGTAAATTAACCTCCATGCTATCCATCAAATGATGGAGTTTAGGAGCGATTTCCCAAAAGTCTCTGTAAGCGTCAAAGGTCAGGAATTCCGATGTTACATAGAAAATCACGAATGTCTCTTAATTTGCGAGCATCTGATTGGTGTGTTTCATTTGTCAAAGGGCGCCCAGCTCCACCAGACAGCAGGCCGCTGGGGGTCCCTAAAGGGGAGACTGTGACGGGCCCCTCAGAGAGGCCCCCCATGAGCGACGGGAAGCCGGAGGCTGCACCCAGGAGCCGTAATCCTTCCTGTAACCTCTCTCCTGTCAGCCCCAAGCCCCCGCCACTGAGTAGCAAGCCCTCCCTAATCAACAGGCCCTCTGTGCCTCAGAAACCTCGAACCAGCAGCAGCCGCAGCATAGGTGTGTTGTGCACTGGAAGTGCTGGTTTTACCCTAGGAGATGCCGGTGGGAGTCTGGGAGGGGTTGACTGTGTTCTGGCTGCAGAGATGATGATGATGATGATGATGATGGTGATGGTGGTGCCAACACTGAAGAAGAATAAATGTTAAAACAAAGATGACAGATGAATGTTTGTCTGGAGTCTCCTGCCTCCCACATTACTTTTGTCTGCCATTTTAAGGTCCTGCTGTCCTGAGGCTCGCAATTCATTTGTTTAATGAAAATCTCTTGAATTGTGCTTTAGACGAACATCCAGAGTCTCCCAGTGGGAATATGTGTCCAAAGGTGTCACTGCTGTCACACAGCCCCAAGAGGGCGCCCTCGGACAGTGAGAAGTGTTGCCCAAGCAGCCTTCCCTTGTCTGTTCTGGACGGTGAGTTCTGTCTGTATATTCAGTCTCAGACTATGTAGTCAAACTGATGTCTTCATTAATAAAACACTTAACATTCATAGAAATGAGGCTCGATGGATCAGAGGAAGTGGATTAAATGCCTCCAGTGTCTGATTTAATCCCCCTGGTATAATGTCTTCCTCACAATGAAGGGCTTTTTATTTGATCTGACTTTCTGCAGTCTCCTCATTTGTTTACATTTGGCTCTTTCAAATAGGGGGGGGGGGGGTCGCACGGTTGTGCAGTGGGCAGCGCTTTGCTTGTTCTCTTTGCGTCATTGTGGGGTTTCCTCCGGTTTCCCCGCCTCAGTCCACAAACATGCTGACGTGAATTGGAGCTGCCAAATTGTCCGTTGATGTGCTTGTGTGTGTGAAAGGTGTTAGTGCCCTTTGATGGTTGGCGCCCCGCCCTGGGCTATTCCCTGCCTTGTGTCCATAGCTTCCAGGATCGACTCCAGACCCCCCCAATCCTGCACCGGATAAGCGGGTACAGAAAATGGATGGATGCATGGATGTTTTATATCAGAGTTTAACTTTAATTTATTCGCTCATAATTCCTTCAATTAGTCACTTTTCGCATATCATGGATGGTTTTGTCGCTCGCTGTTCTGTTTCCTCCCAGCAGCAGAGCCCCTGGGAGATGGGAACCCGTTTGATTCTGACCCGGAAGCGGAGCGGCCCGCCGCCACTGTGAAGCTCGCGTCTCTGCGGCAGTGCTCCGCTAGTGCCGCCGAGGAAGTGGACGAGCAAGAGCGCAGGAAGTCCCTCCCCCGACATGGTTAGACCAATCAAATGTTACCTTTCACCTGTCCGACACCTGGCCTTTGTTAATGACTTATGGGGTTAATTTTTTAAGTAATGCACAATCTGAGCCCTCCCAAAAGACTGAGCTCTGGTGCTGTGGAGCTGATTTTGCAGCTGATGACATGGACTCCCTAATATAACAACTGCATGTTCAAGTCTAAGGGACAGCCCAACTGGTCCTGCATCTGTGTTGATCTAGTTAACCTGCCATTTCCTCCAGATATGAGGGCTAGGTTGTGATGGATAGAATGTGTGTTTTATGCTGTTGCGTGATATGGCGCCCCCTAGTGTTCATCGATTCACATATTCTGTGGTGGCACTCCTAGAGCGACCAGCCTCCATAGCAGATGCTACTGTGCACCTGAGTGGGGGATCCCTCAGCACTGAGGATGGAGGCCCCAGGACCAAGGACAGAGACAGGAACCAAGCAAGCGAGTCTACAGAAGCTGAGGAGGAGCCTGAGAAAGACATTTTTACATAAAAATAAAGACTGATGTCAGACATACATGCATGCTGCCACCTCTTTGGTTGTTCAGAAATGCACAGAAAGAGCCAGTGTTTTTCAGAAGGCTGTTTCTCCAAGTCCTTCCTGCGATTTCCTCACATGTACCAAACCCTGATGACCACATGTCCTGAAAAAAGCAGGTTTACGGCTAGCTGTCCATATGAACATTTAATTACTTCCTGGCCCAAAACCATGCTATCAGTGTTTTGTTACTGTTTTGAAACATGATTTTTAGGGTCTGGTCATGTTGGGGTCACCAGGCCCGAAATGCAAGGTCAATATTAACCGGTTTCCTTACAAAAAAGTGATCAGTCACGTTCCCAGATGATCTCCTGCAGATTGCAAATTAATCTTAAAAAATCTGTTTCTTCCGAGCAGCTGAAATAAATTCAGCTTCAATGTGTTTTTCCCAAAATTACTGTCGTTTGTAGTTAGTTTGTAAATGTATTCTGGGGGAGGAATTAGGGACAGTGTCTCTTGTGTAGTTTTGTGTGTAATATGTGCGTTTGTGTTGGCGTGTCTGTCCATAGATACAGCTGTGTCTGAAAAGTGTTGACATGTTGTCTTCTGTAATATATAAGTACTTATTCTATACCAAATACCTACTATACTTTTATATAAGAGCACAATATTAAGGCAAGGTGTTTTATAATTTGTCAAGAAATATATTTCGTATATAACAAACAAATGTACCTTCAAGGTGCCCACTGAATGTGGGGGGGGGGGGTAAATGTACATTTTATTAATAAAATCATACATAAAATTTGGTTTGTAATGGAAGATGGAAGTTTATTAAATTAAAGGTATTTTGATTGAGAACCTTCTCAGTACGTTACAAAAAATTATCTGGATCTCTTGTTTACATTTTATCAATTAAAGTGATTTATGTGTAAAATGTCATCGGTGTCATCTGCGTATGTACACAACACATACAACCTCCTGGGATTTTATAAGATGTATCAGGGTGATTAACAAGAATTTTGTCACTTGACATGCGTTAATAACCAGATGAAATATTATTACTACTGTTATGAAACATTTTGGTTCCGTCTCTTTTCGTGTGGTTACATGAGTTGGCGGGGGTGCTTATATAGGCCTAGACTTTGAGATACGTAATTTGGTGGTGAAATGTAGTTATTTTTATTTTTATTTATACCTAATGACGTTAAGCCCTTTCCGAGCACTTGACGGTAGTAATTTTCCTGCGCGCGGAGTCCCTCCCATCAGAATAAAGTAGCGCGAGTTCCTTCTCCAGCTGAAAGCGCTCGGAGATCCTGCTCGTCTGCGTGGAGCGGAGCATCTGCCTCCACAGTCCCCCTACTCTGACCCGATAAGGCACCATGGACAGCGCTTTTCATAACCTGGACGCCGCACTTTTTATGGACATTTGGCGACATTTCGACCGCGACGGTAAGAGCAGAACGAGAGACTTTAGAAATGTGCTCATCATATATCCTTCCCGGTTTAAAACGTGAAATGCATCGTTTTATGTTTAATGTCGTTGTTTTAACATGACATCCGCGGCGTGGCTGAAATTAATTTTAAACTTCAAGTAAAGCTGTTTACATAGTATATACAGCTTTCAGCGCAGTGAAACGATCCCTGGTCTTACAGACAAAGGCTATGTAGACAGAAAAATGCTGGAGGACTTTTTCCGACACACGATGAAGAAGCTAGGAGTCCGCGTGAGTAACCAGCCATTTGTACTTAACGTTTAATCCGCACGTTTAATTCATACACAATTACTGTAAAAGTCTTAAACATGAAATAATATTAGATCCTAATTGCATGATGTTATGTTATCAATTCTTTTTTTTTTAAATAAAAGCGTGTTTCTTAAAAGAAAAACTCCTGTTTTGGTGCTATGGGTTAAGCGTAAAAGGGTAAATTATAATGTTGTATAAAAAATAAATAAATAAATGCCATTTTATTGCCTCGCAGTGGGTCTGCAATTAAGTTTTCGCCGCAACATCACATTGCTACCCAGCATAGGTAGAAGGTGTAGTCAACATGAGAATATAAGAACTAGCAGACAGAATATAGAAGGTGACAGATTTGAACACCTTTCTGAAGTTTTCAGCTAAACTTCTCCTGTCTCTAGTCCCCAGTTTTGTGAGGTGCACCTCCTCCTCTTATTGGCAGCTGTTGACTTTCCGTTTGCCGAATCTTAGCTCTGTGAGAACTGGATCCCGAAAATCGAAACTTCATGGCTGATTCGTCTTTACTGATTCTAAGTTGACATAAATGCCGAGTGACTCCTGCTTAGAGCGCCCGGAGAGAGGATGACTGGCTCGTACTCTTGTATTCCTTTTTCTTTGGGTCCCGGGAAAGGTCACAGAGGAGAAGGTTCAGCAGATGAAGCACAGATTTGCCTCTACTTGTGATGGAGGAGGACATGAGCGCTTGCAGATCCAGGAGGTACGTCCAGTTGTAAACCTAGCAGCGGGTAGGTCTAGGTCCTAGACCTACTCTAGGAGAATAGCTTATTGTATTCGTCAGTGCAAAGTTTTAAATGATTAGTGTTTAACACTGAGAAGGATCCCTCTCCAGCTGGCCAGCAAGATGCTTCCAGAAGATGAGAACTTCCTGCTCCTGTTCCGGAGAGAGGAGGCGCTGGAGAGCAGCGTTGAGTTCATGAGGGTAAGACCTGAGTGCCCCTGGCTGGGGGGCCCCCCCCCCCCCACTTCTCACACAAACTTTGCCCCCCTCCCTGCAGATCTGGAGGAACTACGACACTGACAGCAGTGGGTACATTTCGGCTGTGGAGCTCAAGGTAAGTGGACTCACCACCTCCTGCCACAGATCTTAGCAGACCTCCACTTCTCCAGGCCGTGGTCTTCCAAAAACCGGTGTTTTTAAATTCTGACTCTAACATGGCTGCATCTTTACTGGTGGACGGTTTTATCGAGGGGAGTTTCTAGCTACTGAAAAGATCAAGGGCTAACTCAAGTTTACCTCGGGATTGACTTTTTCTTTTTGAAGGAAGATTGGCATCAGGGCTAAAATACTTAGGGCTAGGCTTAAAATATCCCGGGCTATAGCCCCAAGTGATCAGACCTGATAACGCCCCTGCTTTGATCGGGTGTTATATATGGATAAACGAGAGGTCTGAAGGTTTTTGAAGATCCTGCAGTAGGGTGCGGATGAAGATCATAAAGACTGTGCGCTCATTCTCTTTCAGGGAAGCACATGTGTGCAGTTTGGCAGCACTGTGGACATCAGCGCCTAATCTAGACACATTATTACATTTTCTGCTGTTGTCCTGAACAGGATTTCCTAAAGGATCTGTTTCTGCAGCACAACAAGGTGGTGTCCCCTGGCCAACTGGAGAAATACACGGAAGCCATGGTAACCCCCTGCTCTGCCCCTATTTATTGCATATCGAAACTGTCCATCTGATCTCAGGGTTTCCGTCTACTTCTTCTGAATGGTGGATTTCCATTCCTTATGTTCCAAGTAGTTAGACTTTTCTGTGGTCGGCTAGGAATTTTGAGTGATTTTGATTGCAAAGTGACATGTCATTGCAGAGGCTTTCCATTTGCACCAGTATACAGAGGAAATAATAATAACAAGACATGCAAAAAACAAATATATTTGATATGCTTTCATGCTTGGGACATATTAGTATATTCACGTGTTGATGCACAATACATATCTCAATATGTAAGCTTACTAATCAGCCCATGACCTTTTTGAATCGATGTCCTCTAATTACAGATGAAGATGTTTGACAAAAATAATGACGGCCGGCTGGATCTGAATGACTTAGCCAGGTAACAGCATAACCAAACATTTCTTTTTAATCTAACATGGCAATTTGTAGGCTACTGGAGACCAAGAAAGCTAGGTCAATACTGCATCTTATGGAATATGACAGGCAGAAAGGTGCAGTCATCATGAGAAAATTCGAAGAAGCAGACAGAATAGGCATCCCTGAGAAGGTGATGGATTTGAACACCTTTCTGAAGTTTTCAGCTAAGCTTCTCATGTTTCTAGTCCCCAGTTTTGTGAGGTGCACCTCCTCCTCTGATTGGCAGCTGTTGACTTTCCTCTTCCCTTCTAGGATCTTAGCTTTGCGAGAAAACTTCCTGCTGAAATTCAAGATGGATGTAAGTCTGCTGCTTCTCTTGTGTCACAGTTGAGGTGAACTTGCATCCAGCAGGGGCTCCGACCCAAGAAATTAAAGATCTGTGGTGTAAATCCTCAGGAGCTTCTTAAAAATCCCACATTCAACAGCAGCATGACAACACAACATCAATGCATATCATCATAGGAGAAAACCTGAGAAAGTATAGAGAAATCAGATGTTTCTTCAAGTGAGACTCGGTGTCTACACTAACTGATTCTCACCACCTGCTTTAAGCCAGTGGAAAAGATAGACTACTGTAACAGACCTGTCGCAGATCATCAGAGCTGAATATTCTCACTCTGAGTTTTTCCATTTGAAATTTACATCTCTCTGTAATTCTTTTGATGAAGACACTTTAATTCTTTGATCTGCACAAGTACAGGTACGTTGGAATTCTTTAGTTTGGGTATATCCTATCATACTCTCATTTGAGACATAAAGACATATATACAGGTGAGAAGAAAGTCTGGGGTCAGATGGCAGGATCAGCCATTTATCCAGCTCCCCTGGAGCATACCGGAGGGTTATGCTGCTCAAAGGCTGAGGACAGGATTTGAACCAACGACCTTCCGATCACAGGCACAGTTACACACTGGCCCCAATGCTCTGGTGCTCTCGTAGCTCCGTTTGTCCTTTGATGGTCTTCAACTATAATGATCACTAACTGCAAGCAACGCCCAGTGTATAGTCCTACTTTTGTGGTTAAAATAGTACTTTAAATACTGTCTTAGCACCTCACACCTGCCTGTTTCAGGCCTGCAGTCAAGAGGACAGGAAGCGCGACTTTGAGGCCATCTTTGCACACTATGATGTCGTAAGTAGGAGACACAAAGCCTCCAAGCTCTGATGGCGATATCACAGGATATCACTCACAGCCTGGTTCACCCAAATGGTACCAATAACATGTGTTACACCAACTTTGGCATCTTAATATTTGATGTGTGACAAACATTACTTTGTCCAACATGTAGAATGAACAGTAAGAACCCTAGCAGTGTACCTTAAGATATCAAAAATGTATGATAATCTGTAAAATGGGAAATGGCCACCAAACGGGTTAATCAGTTTATTACTTGCATACTGAATCTTCTCCGACAGTGATTATTAATGGGCCACTAATGATTATTCTAACTCTGGGGCTGCAATCAAAAAGTCAGTCAAGCTGAAACCTACAAGAGGATCATTAACTGAGCTGTCCAGTTCTTCTTGAGGACCTTGGTTGGAGTAAACTGTGGCATCTTTTCTAAACATCTTTTCTAAAAACGATGAAAGGGTGGATATGCAACCAGAGTCACAACAATCGTAATTAAATGCAGGAGGGGAATCTGGAAGTCAGCCTCACTAAACACAACTCAGCAGAATTATGAATGTGATCAAGCGTTTGCATAAATGCGAAAAGCTTTCTTGAAGGTATGCATTGAGATTTGATAATAAAAAGGTAGCACATTTGACTCCATGTTCTTTCTGTAAATATTCACCTAGAATTTGTCTGCATTTCAGAGTAAGACTGGAGCTTTAGAAGGACCTGAAGTAGATGGCTTTGTGAAGGACATGATGGAGCTGGTCAAGGTTGGATCCTTCATGCATTGTTCTTCTAGTTTTCAAGCCTTGAACATCTCCTCCATGGTTTAGGCATTTGGGAAAAAACACAACAAAACAGTGTCCTGCATACACACAAAGAACATTTCCCAGCATGCTTTGCAGCTTACAGCTGTGTTCCAACTATTTGTATGCTTATCATCCCTCAGGCCAACATCAGCAGTGTCGACCTCGATAAGTTTCGTCACGTGCTGCTGGAGCATTGTGATGTCAACCGGGATGGAAAGATCCAGAAGAATGAACTGGCACTGTGTCTGGGGCTGAAGCTGAATTCGTAACCCCTCCCCCCCACACACACACACACACACACACAGAAGCAGTGCTCCCCCTTTGCCACAGTGTCCCATGTGGTTGAAATGACGCAGTGCAACACACTGTCTAACAGCCGCCCGAGGGCTCCTGTGATGTGAGATCCCGTGATCCCGTGTTCCACGCGTGTGTGGACAGGTGTCTGCCTCAGCTTTAGTGATGTTCTGCAGTGTGTCTGCATGTCGCTGAGCTGGATTCAGGTTCATATATGATGCTTCTCGCCTGTATCTCAGCAGCTATGCTTTTCTGTATTTGAATTGTCCGATGTTGTGATTATTTATAACTTATCTGCGTTATGGTGATTTGGCGTAATCACAGTAAGAGTAGAGTCTGTCTGACATGGTTGGTCTCGTAAATGAAAATATTCAAGAAAAGCTGTTCCTTGAGAGATTTTCACTGCCAGTGAAATAAAGGTAGAGTGCCAACATTATTTGGTGTCATTCCTCTTCTTGGGTGGAGTGAGTCGGGAATAATGGCATTTGCCCGTCATACTGCATGCAGTGTAATCAAAAAACCAGACAGAATTGCTATAAATGCCTGGCAAATGCAATGGAATAGGAGAGCAGCAGACAAAACGAGACTGGAGATTCTGGAACCTAAAGCACTTGTATCCATATCACATGGCACAGAAGCAGACATGACAGATGTGGTGGTTATACTTTAAAATGCAGCCATAACAAATACATTATACGGACAAGACTAATGGGACGCCTGTCCATTTCCGCTAAAGGAACTTTTATAACATTCCACTCTAAATCCATAGCCACCACTGTGGAGTTGCCCCCCCCTTTGGCAGCTATAACAGCTGCCGCTCTTCTGGGAAGGTTTTCCATACGTTTTTGCAGTGTGTCTGTGCATGTGAACTCCACACACAAAGCTGCGATCCCCTTAAATGCCGATTCTGCTCCGCAATGGCCGGTTTTAGCACAAACGTGGGCATGGCATCCGAAAGCTTTGTCACCACAGCGTTACACAGTGGTATACACAATGTTGGTAACAATGACAGACAATAAGGAACAATGTCTCAGTGGGCATACAAGAGGAACCACTTTATTATTTATTAAGCGATTGTGAGCTTCCCATATTTTGATTCTTCTTCTTGTCTGCTGTTTTTGGAAGGGGAGGAGCTTCCCGCAGTAGCATCTGATTGCTGTAATTACGCCCAGCTGCACCGCGAGGGTCATGACGCTGATGCTCCTCTGTCATTTGGCCCCAGCTGTGGCCTGCTTTAATTTCAGCCTATCGGCACCCGGGCACAAGGAGAGAAATTCGGAAACCTAGTCAGGCTGCAATTAAAGCTTGGAGCTGTGGGCGAGAGGAGGGCGTGCAGCCTTGGCTGGCCTGTGCTCAAAAACATCAGTGACCTTCCACTGCTAAAGCTCTCCAGAACAAACCAGTGACGACCGATTGCTAAGTTAGTCACTGTCTGCTGGCTACCCTACAGCAGCATCTCTCCTCTTGTTCTGTCACAGGGGGATCCCATCATCTTACACAGGACTGCTTCAGGACATCGCTGTTGTTTCTGTAACTGATCCACATGATAGATGCCACATGAAATCCTTAAGAAAAATCATTGAGGAATGACTTATTTTTCCATCCATCCATTCATTTTCTGTTCCCGTGTGTCCTATGCACACTCTCAGGAAAAAAAGAGAACCAATATGTACCTTTGCTTGTCACTAGTACTGTACCCTCATGGGTCTGCCAATTGTACCCTTAGCCATAGGTAACTGTACCTTTTAAGGTACAGAAATGGATTATGAGGAACATTTTTGTACCATTGGGGGTGCAATAATGTTGTTTGTACCTTGGAGATGTTCCTTGGAGTCCATTTCTGCACCATAAAAGGTACAATTACCTAGAGCTATGGGTACAATAGGCAGACCATTGTGGGTACAGGACCAGTGACAAGCAAAGATACTAATTGGTACTCTTTTTTTCTGAGAGTGAAGGGTCGCAGGGAGTCCAAAGCGTATCCCAGAAGCTGGGGGCAGCAGGCAAAGAAAACGCATGATGAGGCGTCAACCCGTCACGGGACGCACGCGCCATTCACACCTACGGACAATTTGGCAACTCTGTGGTTTCTAAATTTCCATTATATTTCTATTAGTATAATTAAAACTAAAATCATGACTTTTTCTGTTAAACTGTGTCTTATTTACCATAGGCTATTGTTTCACGGGTGATGTGATTAATACCATAACTCTCGGATAAAAAAGGGTAGGCTATGTCGTACTAATATGGTACAGATCTCGGCAGATACACTACTCCTACATTTTAAAAACAGACAGGCAAGCCTTCATTTGCACGCAGTGATAGACCGGTCATTATCTGCTTCCCGCAGAGCACACCAATAACAGCGGGCAGCCAGTGGACGTGTGACACAAATAGCGGCCGTCAGCCTAAGACCAATTGACAGTGGCGATGGGGCGGGGCTAAAACGCAGCTCCACGTGTAGGAAATGCTCTCGAGGAGAGATCGGAGATGAACAAACCCACACTATTAGTTTAAATGTGACTATTCTCTGTGATTTGCGGTTGGCGCCGCTCAATAATTCAATATCGACTTTAAAAGTGGAAATGATGCACATCTCCCTGTTCTACATAATTAGTTGATGGGGTGTGTTTTGGCCCATATATTAGCTGGTTACGCCTTTTTCATGTTAAAACGTGTTTATGGGCTACAGATGTAGATTGAATAATATTTCAGGGTTGTTAGGTAGGCTAATGTACCATAAATCACTGCAAAGTGCAATGTGGGTACTGGTTAATGTCTTCCTTTTGGAGATTATCAATCGGGACTCTTGGAGCATCTGAGGATTTGTAACCTGTGTGTTATAAACAGGTCTGTTCATTAGGTGATGCCTGTTGCTCTTAAAACCTTTTAAAACTTTAAGTTCACATTTTTTAGGGGAGAAATTGTGAGGCAGAATATTTAGGGTTTATTTCTTCAGCACATGATTTTACCATATTCGGCCGAATTTCTGGTACGACGTCTTAGAACTGCAAACATACCCGATCAAACCATAAACCATAATGAAAGTATGCCTCCATAATGAAAAATTGAGGCGAAATCTGGATTTTCTCATTAAAACTCATTTTCTGATTGAAGTTAAATTGAATCGTTTCACTGTTTAACTGAAGCCACTGAACGTGATTTGTCGCGCAAGCTTTGAGCGACCTCTAGTGGTCTTCTGTACCGAATAATCCGTTTTGGTCGGAATATGTCTTATAAAACGTATGTTTTGTTTTCAGGTTCTCCGTGGATGTCAGGTTACAGCGTGCACAGGATCGTATTGTTGTAATCCGGAAAGACCAGAGTTGGGCTTATTTATATCTTTGAAGTATTTCAGTTTTTTATATACGGCACTGACTATCCCATTTGGATTTAATGTAGCCACTGGTTAAGTGCAGCAGGGTATTTTGGTCGGAGCCTGCACTGAAGGTCATTTAAAATGCATTATAATTACATTTAAAACATGTCATGTAAATATGGAAATCATTGCCTGAGTAATTAAGGGGACGACGTGGAGCAGAGACCTGCGCGCCCACACTCCCGACCCTGAGACTCCCGACCCTGAGACTCCTGAGACTCCCGACCCTGAGACTCCCGCTCTACATGGTGACACTTTGGCCACTAGGGGGCAGATGTTCATCAGTATGGAAACATTTTAGCTGGAGCGTTGAAATTTGATGACGAATTAAACATTTATAATATTACATTGCTAACTTTGAATGCTCCTACTTAAAAGAATCATATAATCTTCTATTTTATGTACATTAAACTCATGTCCACTGATGTTTACAACGTTTGAATGAATGAAGTACTGCGGTACTGTGGCATCATCGGCGGCGGTCCTTGTGAATCTCCAGATATGAATGAAAGAGGAGGCGCGACGCTGGAGCGCGCCTGGTGTCGGGGACGCGCATCAGCCAGGGCGCGCGGAGAAGCGGGGCCAGCTGTGCACAACTTAAGTCACTGAAAGTCGCTTCGTTTCGCTTATCTTTCTCCGACCATTCACACATAGATATATGCATATAGCCGATAGCCGTTTTTGATTTCTTGATACAGCTTGTGTGTATTTCATACCAGCTGTATATGGGATTTTTTTCAATATGGGAAAAACAGATTTTAAATTATCTCTTTTAAGGTTTTTGCCCTGGGTTTTGAGGACAGCCGCTTCATTTTGATGCCGTCATTTCTAGTTTATCGGGAAGCTGTTTTTCATTTTTATTTTTGAAGTATTCCTATCAGTTGACATTTTCGATGCTTTCTTACCTGTGACTGACAGAAAATGGAGGCTGTGTTTGAGAGGGAGTGCGGTGCGCTTGGGGGGCTTTTCCACACCGTTATCAGCGACATGAAGGTAGGAGAGCCGCTTAAAAACCCAACTCTGATCTAGTGCCGTGTGTGACAGCGGGTCTTTTTCAGCGCAAAACCTGCACGTGACACCTTGTCATCAAATATACCGGTACACGCTTACAATGCTGCTAATTTTTATCCATCTTCCAACTGCTAATATTTTATCTTTTATTTGATATATTTATTGACTGTCAACGGGTTAAACCCTAAACCGTTTTATGATATGATCTAGACATCGTTAGTCTATGGTTGCTCTCGTTCAGAAAATAGTTTCTGTCAGCTAATTGTAACATGCAGATTGTTTGAGGGACCAGGAAGGAAACTCCCGAAACTTGGACCAGCTTAGGCGACTTGTCTGATGTGTGGCTATAGCGAAGGACTTTAATTAGACTATGTCATTTAGGCGACCTTACAGACTAGGAACAATAAAATGGCATTTGAAGTATTGCAGTAAAATGTTTATATGGTATTTAGGGTTGGGTGGCTTTGCTATGGTTTGCTGTGTTTGTGGGGTGTTGTTGCTGGCTAATACATTTAATGAATGTCTAATTATAAGTTGTGCAGAAAGTTAACTGAGTTAATCATGCGCTTTTGACAACAACCTATAGAAGTTAATTATTGCAGCGTTTTGAAATTTTATTACTATACAGTCTCTTCATCTAAGCCGATATGACGTTTTCAATGAACGGTTTGGGGTAGACATGATTAACAAGGGTCCTCCTGGTTCAAATGTCAGTTATAAAGCATAATGCTGTTTTCGAATCATTGTTTTCATAAGCCTGCTGCAGGTTGTCAATAGCCGAAAATGTAATGAGACTCCCTTTGACATATATACCCAATGCACAGGAAATCATGTTCAGTGAGGAGAAATTCAAGTCGAGTTCTGCGGATAACTTATACAATAATGATTGTTTTTCTTATCACATGACTACCCAGCATTGTTTATGCGTCCATATTAATACAGGCAATAATCTGTCTAAAATTAACCGGCATCTAATTATTTTATGCAAATTATACACATCAGGCATAGTGCTGTTATAATTGCCACAGATGGCGGGACTGAAGAGAGCTAATTCATTGACGTAGCCGGCTAAAATATTCATTGAGAAATATAAGCAGGCTTTGCTGTTATTGAAAGCGAGTGCACCCCATATTTTCAATTAAAACAGTCGGGATTAACCTTCTCCTGTAGTCTTTGAGCCATTTACCGGAGATTGCTAACCGTTTAATGTAATTGCAAATGCAGAACTTGGACATGTAGAACATTTTCGGCGTCAGAAATTGATTCTGCCCCGAGGTCCTTTTTGTCTTTCATTGCTTTTGTTTGAGATGTACTTGCCGTCTAGGTAGTGTTTTCATAAGTGACTGTTTTATACATAACAATTGTACATGTTGAGTCAGTGGTCCCTGGGGGCTGTGCTCTTTCAGGTCTCCCCCTGGTAAAATGGTCTTTGATTGTAACCAATCTCCAAACCCTCTTACAGATGTTTCCTGGTAACAGATGCAGGACATTTCTGCAGCTTTGTGTTGTAGGTCTACTTGCGGATGCTATGCTTCCTGACTGTTTTGTGTTGTACGCTTATGTGTGAGTTTGCCGCGTCCCCGTTTGACCTCGAGGGCTTCAGTCAATTGTTTTCTTGTCTTTCAAGGTCACCCTCATTGTCCCTCTAAATATCTGTAGGTGTTTGTAGGTGGTTTATTCCAGTCTTTCACACATAATACAAAGAAATGGGTATCTTTACTGCACCTGGTTACATGTAAGTAGAGTGTCCTTAAACTTCAGACTGATCTTGTTGGTAGAAACTACTGACATGATCCAGTACAGTGAGTTGATGGAGGCTGTTTGTGAGTTGATTTCTTTTTGCCTATCTCCTCAGAGCAGCTACCCTGTCTGGGAGGACTTCATCAGCAAGGCTGGCAAGTTTCAGTCCCAGCTCAGGTTTGTGGAGATCTTTCCCTTGGACACGGCACACACACATGTCCAACTTTTAGGCCCTATTGAATGATGTACAGAAAGACTTTATTTCTGTTCTAGAATCAGCCCATTTCCACTCTTTAATTAGCTTATTTCCACTCCAAAATAAGCGTATTTCTGCTCTAGAATAGCCTCAGCATAAACTTTAAGGCAGTGTTTCTCAACCCAGTCCTTGTGGACCCCTAAACAGTCCACGTTCTTGTTCCCTCCCAACTCTTTGCCAGACCTATCTATCTATCTATCTATCTATCTATCTATCTATCTATCTATCTATCTATCTATGCAAGAATAAATGAGATGAAAGCACAGCATTGTGCATTTATGTAATATGTCAAGTCAAGTCAAGTCAAGTTTATTTATAAAGCACTTTAAAAACAACAATAACAGCTGACCAAAGTGCTGGACAAGCACAATGAGCAGGACTAGTATTCTTTACTGGGGTATTACTGAATCATGTGAAGGCAGTATTTGGCTGCTGTATCGTTGATGGGGGATGGGGGTCTCATAGGTACTGGTAGGTGGGGTTATCATTACTGCTAGTGGGTGGGGTTATCATTACTGCTAGTGGGTGGGGTTATCATTACTGCTAGTGGGTGGGTTTATCATTACTGCTAGTGGGCGGGGTTATGTGAAGCCGGTGATGCATCATCTATGCCCCGCCTTTCAGGACCACTGTGGTGGCAGCTGCAGCATTCCTGGATGCCCTGCAGAAGGTGGCTGACTTAGCCATGGGCGCGCGAGGTGAGCAGACTGCGTGTGTGTGTGTGTGTGTGTGTGTGTGTGTGTGTGTGTGTGGAGGGCAGAGGAGGGCAGAATGGAATCGCCACTTGCTCCATCAACATCTAGCAGAACTCCCCCCCCTCCCCTCCCGCGAACTGCTCTGACACATTTCGAATGCTGGTGCCCACTCAACATACCCAAATGGTGATCCAAGGATGGCATGCTTGTAATGTGTCTTCAGGGGCTACTGGAAGGTGTGGGGGGGCGGTGGTCGAATGGTTGCCTGATTAACGCCTTATCAAGACTTCTTGTAGCACATCATCATAGTCCTGCTCGCAGTGTGCACTTCAGAGAGTGGATCAACTTATTTGCGTGAGTGCATTTTTGTGTGTCCCAGTGAATCCACTTGTGTATGTTTATATGTAAGAGAGTGAATTCACTTGTGCGGGTGTGTTGGCGTGGGTGTGTGTGAGAGTGAATCCGCTTGTGTGACGTGTATGAGAGTTAATCTGTTTGTGTGGGTGTGTTATGGAGGATGTACAGCCTGATGTCAACTCTGATCCCTAGGAGTCACATCCTGCTCCTGAACTGGGGCCTGGAGAGACATGGCTGGTTGTCAGGGAAGCTACAGCAGTTCGGTCATTCTTTTTTTTTTTGTCAGTTCCTCTATTCTGGCTCTGCTACCAGTCAGTGCCTCAGTCCTGGCTCTGCTCTCTTGTTTAGTCCCTCTCAACCTATATTGCCTCATTTCCACCAACTTGGTTCTGGAACCGGTGCCAGACTTTTTCCCAATCCGGAACTAGTTCCGCATGTTTCCACTGCAAACAACTGACCCAGGGCCAGAAAAAAACCGCTCCAGCACAGCACCACAGAAAAGCTGGTCTCAGAATTTGGAACTGTAACATCAGTGAAACTGGGATGGGCTATCGTGTCCAAACCTTCCACATACCCAGAAAATTCAATCCATAAACAATAAAGGTTTGTCTAATATCGCCGGTGGCGGCAGTTAAATAACTTGCCAGGTTTTTAGCAGAATAACGTTTCATCGTATGTTTTTATTCTGTGGAAAACGAAAGATCGATTTGCTGGCCACATTTAATAATCAATTATAAACACGTCACAGGTCAAATAAATTAAATATTGCAGAGCTCAAGTGGCGAAGAGATCAGGAGGCAGACAGCAAAGTTCAATTTTTAGCAGACTCTTTTATTGCATGATCCTTAAAAGGACAGCGGTAGAACAGTGAGCGAGAATAAAGTCACGTACACACACAGACTGGGGAGAAATACAGCCTTTAAGGAGACAAAAATGGAGACAGAGCGCAACGAGTCGTACTCTCAATACTTTGTTTTTTTGGTTCGGCAGCTTATAAAAACTTAAAATCAGAAGCAGATCAAAATAAATTCATAAAATAGAATACATGTGAACCTTTACTCTCACTTCCACCTACATAACACTAGTTACTAGTTAAGTAAACACTAGTATACTTTGGATAATTTAACCTCCTTTTTTGTTCTATAAACAATGTTTATAAGCAATGTTACTCTTGGAAACTTCACATGTCATGATTTGATATCGTGCAGCCCTGCTCTTAAATGACCAGCGGTTATCATGATGCCAGCACCTGGCGGAGGTCTTCCTCAGGTCTTCCTCAGCGCATATAGCTCGCAATCCCACCCCATTCTGCCTGCATTTCCTGCTCTAGTGGTACTTGCTGCTCTCACCAGCTTCATAATCACGTAAATGTTGGTGTGCCACCCCTCAGCAACACCCCTCTGCCTTCAGGACACGTTGCCGCACAGAGGACCGAAAAGCCGAAACACGCGCAGAGCTATTCTCACGTGTTTGGGGTGGAGGGAAAACCAGCAGCACAAAGGGCTTGGCTTAAGGTTTCAGGAGTGGCCCTATTGTTTACACTGCTACCTGAAACATGTTTTACTTTCATTTGGATGTTGTCATCATACAGAGGTGGGGTGGGGGGGGGTGTCTTTGCATGTGATCAGATCTGGGGTTTAGGAACCAAGGTGCTTAAGCTCACCCTGAGCGGCCCTGCTCCGTCTTCCCGACTCACTGAGGAGATGCCGCCCCAAATACTATGACATTCGCATCCTCTGTGCTCTTTCAGAAGGTGACGCACAAGGAAGCTGCACTCTCACCTCCCTCTCTTGTTTATTGGTTTTTGCTGGCAGAAGTTGGAGGATATCCAGCAAGTGGAAAAGCAAGTGGAAAAGCCCAGGGTTTAATGGAACCGCCACATGTCAGCTGACGGGCCTGGTTCTACTTTAACTGTCAGCTTCCAGTTCTGCTTCTGTTGTGATAGCCAGTGCAGATCCACCATGACTGTCCGCCGCTGACATTTCTGCAGACCAGAGGAGTGCTGTGTAATTCATATGGGTTTAGTCCTGTTGGCATTTCACTTTGGGTTTCAGTAATTTAATATGGAGCTTTTCTGCAGATTACAGGATTGTCCTCTTGTATGCACTTGTCTCCCTAAGATTTATAGCCTTAGAAACACAGTTTAGGGGTCAGGGTTAAGTTTAATGGTGTTCAGAGAATCCAAGTGCCATTGTGATGTCATAGACCTCCTCTTTGGGTTAGGGTTAGGGTTAGGTTTAGGGGTAATGTGATGTCATAGACCCCGAAGGAGATGTTCTGTGCGAAATCAGCTTGCATTGGAAGCTTCCTCATCAGTCCTGTTGCCGCCATTCATCATCAGTGATCCTGAAGCTGTTGTTGTAGGCCCTTTATCACCATAATAATAATAATAATAATAATAATACATTTTATTTAAAAGGTGCCTTTCTGACACTCAAGGTCACCGTACAGGCATACATAAAATTTATACACACTACAAGGCTAATGTCTTGCTTTAGCATAGATGTGATTCGCTGGAACCCATGCCAAGAAGATATCCCCATCTTTACGAATGTTGCCCCTTTTATCCTGTATGTTGGCTTGGAGGACCACATGGGTGTAGTGAACATTTAGTCTGACAAGGTTCCCAAATCCTTTATGTCCTTTTGTGTGGGACCCTGTAGTTATTATAGCAGGGTTGCATTAAACCTGCCTGCATTTGGGGATCTGCTGCACTTGCCACCATGGAGGTGCCTTTGGAATGGGAAGGAGCTCATGGCAGCTCAGCGTCCACACGGTGCTTGGAGACAGACGGCAAGCAAGCTGGAGAAGAGGAGCAGGGCTCGGTACAGATGGCCGACCCCATGGGCCTTTGGTACCGCCAGAGACTGCCGGCAGCTTTTGTGAAGCCGGGTTCTACCAAGTATCAGAAGGTGGACCTAACCAGTTATCAGATGCTGGGTATAGTCATGTATCTATACACTAGAAAGCTGTGTGTGACCCTCACCTGAAGAGCTACTCATGATCTTTCTGTTGTTGAACCATGATCCAAAATCTTACACACAAGTAAATAACGATAGTATCTGAAAGACGATTTTTTTTTAATGCTGTTATTTGGAAACTTTACAACAGTAGAGAAATTCCCTTGGATTATATTCACTGAAGTACCAGGTTGGATGGAGTAAGTGATTTCAGGCTGTTACACCGGTTCTTCGGCGTTGAGCATCTTGTCAAGGGAGTGTGACGTTTGACTTTTCTGCTGTGTTTATGGAGTCCTTCCCCTACCTAGTAGCTCAAACCACACTGAACCTGTTGCACGCCCAAAGTATCGCTTCACTTTGGCATCTGCTGATTACGGCACACTTCCTCTGCCCTGCCTTTGGGTGATTTGTACGTGACAATGGCTTGTTGTAGCCATGTGTACACATAGCTATGAATAATGTCAATAACGGCCTTTATGATGTACTGCCTACGTCAGAATTAATTTAGGAGCAACGAAAGGTATTCATTACGGGAACTTATTTACCTTTCTTCCTCTCTCTGGTCTGGTGTGGTGTGTGACATCTGAACTTCGTGGATGCAGATTACCCAGAATGCCAAGAGGGTTTTTTCTTTGTTATCATAAATCCAGGTTAAACTTGTAGCTTTGTAAGCACCTCATCCTTCCATGTAGCTTACATTAAATTCTGATTAGTGCCAGATTCCTGGTACGGGTGGTTAATGGGAGGCTAATGTCTTGCTTTAGCATAGATGTGATTCGCTGGCTCGCTACTGCACCTTGCTGGTTTTTATGAATATAATGTCAGAAAAAAAAAACATCTGTGTCCAGTCACATGCAGTTACTTTAAGGTTGTGATGGGCAGCGAGCAGCTCAGTGGGCTAAGACTGTGCCTGTGGTGCTTTGGCACATCTGCGGGTCCCTCAGCGAGGCCCTTAACCCCCAGCTCCCTGGGAGCTGCTGTGGGTGGCTGCCCTTCACAGCCAGCTTACTCGCACCTACAGAGAGCAAGTTGGGGGAGACGTAGAGAGAATTTCTCCATGGGGATCAATAAAGTATCTCATTATTATTATTATTATTATTACTCTTAAAAGTGCTCATATAGTAGTGCACAGACCACCCAAAGTCACCAAAAAAGGCTTTTTGGCATGGCTTTAATTGTACAGTTCTAATTAAAGTACAGTTCTAAGTACAATTCAGTTATAATTACTGATTATTTCGGTAGGTACTTCAGTTATTTAGAATGAATAACTTGCCTGCCGTTTAAACGCCAGGGTGCACAGGGGTCTTTGTCCCACTGTAAATAAGTTGGGGTCCACGTTTCATCATGTAGGCGTCCTTCCCGGTGCCTGTCTGTTTAGCACATTTTTTTGATTTTTGGACCTGAAGAGGAAGTCTGGGTAATGTGGAGGTCGAGCAGCTGCTGTTCTCCATTCGCTCCAGCCGCTGAGTGACATCGCACTCCCTGTAGTGACAAGACTGGCGTTTCAGTGCAGCTGTTTTCGACCACGGTGTGGAAAGGATTTAAATCGTTAGCTGTTTTTTTTAAGGGCTTGGAAACTGTAGATCACTCTCTGCTCAATTTCATGTAGGTTGGCAGCATAGAAGAACGTCAGTATATTTTTTTCCGAGACTGAGAGAATCCATTTACCCGAAAGTGTTAATAACT